TAATGAATACAACTTTATAGTCATATGAATAAAATTTTATACATAAATACATATTTTTTAAAAAGACAATTTCAGATAGTATTATGTGCTATGAAGAGAGATAAGTATGAGGAATTTACATCTGAGCTGAGACATGGGTGTTAAGAAGTTAGTCATCTATTTCAAGTGGAGACAAATAGTGCGAAGACCTGAGATAAGAATAAACTTGTCATATTCAAGGAGTGACAAGAAACCCAGATCATGGAATTTGTAATCTTGTTTTTTTTTTTTTTTTAATTTATTTATTTGAAAGTCAAGATTACACAGAGAGGCCAGCGCCGCGGCTCACTAGGCTAATCCTCCGCCTTGGGGCGCCGGCACACCGGGTTCTAGTCCCGGTCGGGGCGCTGGATTCTGTCCCGGTTGCCCCTCTTCCAGGCCAGCTCTCTGCTGTGGCCAGGGAGTGCAGTGGAGGATGGCCCAAGTCTTTGGGCCCTGCACCCCATGGGAGACCAGGAGAAGTACCTGGCTCCTGCCATCGGATCAGCGCGGTGCACCGGCCGCAGCGCGCTGGCCATGGTGGCCATTGGAGGGTGAACCAACAGCAAAAAGGAAGACCTTTCTCTCTCTCACTGTCCACTCTGCCTGTCAAAAAAAAAAAAAAAAAAGAAAAGAAAAAAAGAAAAATTACACAGAGAGAGGGGAGGCAGAGAGAGAGAGAGAGAAGTCTTCCATCCGATGGTTCACTCCCCAATTGGCCGCAACGGCCAGAGCTATGCCGATCAGAAGCCAGGAGCCAGGAACTTCTTCCGGATCTCCCATGTGGTGCAGGGGCCCAAGGACTTGGGCCACCTTCTACTGCTTTCCCAGGCCATAGCAGAGAGCTGGATTGGAAGTAGAGCAGCCAGGACTAGAACGGGCGCCCATATGGGTTGCTGGCGCTCCAGGCTAGGGTGTTAACCTGCAGGGCCACGGTGCCAGGCCCAGAATTTGTAATTTTGTAACCATAAAATGGCAAATAAATGAAGATGAGAATTACTAAAATTTTTTTTACTTCTCTCTCTCTCTCTCTCTCTCTCTCTCCATCTCTACCACAAAGGTTCTTCCCAGCTAAAGGGACAAAATTCACTTGACTGACTGTTTTGTTCTGACATCCTAAGAAGAGCCTGTGAGCACTGTTTCTGTTCCTCCTGTATTCCGAAATGTCCTCTCTGGTTTTTATCTCCTGGCTTGTATTTACAAAGAAAATATGAGTTATTTTATTAATGCCTTCTCATTGTAACCTTATCAAAAGTGGTTAAAAGAGAGGAAAATCCTGAATAAATAGATGCTACAATAATTATATATTTATTTTAAGCATATCCTGCCTTTGTTATAATAGGTGCAGGTCTCTGTGTTCCATCTTGTACGTACCACTTTGTGAATTTGGGCAGCTGACTTCACCTGTCTTGGACTTCATTTTCTTCTGTCCTGTATGGAGTTGACTGTCTGGTAGGATTGTGTGAGGTCAGACTTGGTGCTCGGCACATAGTCAAAATAGGTCATATTTGTGGAGCACGTCTTGTTAATATTACCACAAAGGTCTTCATTCTTTCCAAACACCTCTCAGTAAATGTTTTTGCAAATGTTTTCAAGTAGCCCAATAAACTTTTATGCTGACTTTCAAGTATCTTTTTATCCAGTGTCCAGCTCAGAGACATTGTATATTTATGGATCCATCCTTCGGTAATACAAATGCCAGGTTCACCTTATCTGTTAAAACCCTCCTGTTGATTCCAGCTCCTGTCAAGCTCCTGACAAAGCCTATACATACTGTGCTGCTATGCTAAGGATTCCAGAGCATAGGTGAAAACATATGAGTGTGTAGCCCTTGATCTCCTGAGCGGCATTTGGCAAGTCTCCAGTCCTTCATTTCTATCTAATTAATGACATTCCTGGCATATGGGGATCATATAGCATAGAATGTGTCCACACTCTGCCTGTGAAAACCTTCTTTGTTCTCCACCTGCAAAAAAAAAAAAAGCAACCTCTGCTTTTCATTTCTTTTTTGTGTCATTTTGAATGTAATTGTTCTCCCTCCTTTGCCTTCCCTCCTGTCTCGTCCCTTCCTCTCCTTCCCTTCTCTACCCCCTTCTTCTTCCTCTTTATTCTTTCCTACCTTCTTCCTACACTCCTCCTCTATCTCTGAACCCCACAAAGTGAGTAGGGAAGCACCTTGGGGGTTGATCTGAGAGGAAGAAGCTGATATCACCACCTGAACTGATTCTAGACATCATCTTGAAACTCAAAAATAGTTTGCTTCAGTAATGCTGTCATTATCACAGTTCTCTTGGGAAGACCAAGACCATTCCCACTACTGCATTTTAGCTTCTGCTGTTTCCTTGCCTAGAATATATTTTCCTCTTCCTTCCATTCTTCAAGATTAATGTCAAATCTCACCTCTTCCACTAAATCTTCCTGTCTTAGTGCATTTTGAGCTGCTATAAGAGAATACCACAGCCTGAGTCATTTATAAACAATGGGAATTGATTTGGCTCATGGTTCTGGAGGCTGGTCTAAGATTGATGGACTACATCTGGTGAGGGCCTTCATGCTCTGTCTACCCGTGGTGGAAGACACAAAGACAATGAATTCAGAGACATACTGAACTCATCCTTTTATCAGGAAGCCTCTTCCAGCAAAGCTAACCCGCTCCTGGGACAGCGACACTTCTCTGCTCATGAGGGTAAAGCCTTCACGGCCTAATCAACTATTAAATCCCACCTCTCATCATTGTTGCATTGAGTGTTGAGTTTTCAGCATGTGAACTTTGGAGGACACATTCAAAAGATAGCAATAACTCTAGATTTGGATTGATCCTGCCCAAAACACTTATGTTGTTGTATATCTTTGCTATTTCATTCCTATTACTGAGCCTGGTGCATAAGTGTAAGGCTGTTTTCTCACGTGGATTTTAAATTTACTCACAGCATTGGCCATGTCATGTATATTTTTAGTATCTCACTGTTTCCATCTCTCCCCATCACGCTTTTTAAGTACCTATTTCTTCTGTCTCAGAGATAAGAGCATGTTAGTGAATTTGTAGAACTTCTGAACAAAATCAAATACAGCTATATATGTTATAACCTTATAGACAGAACACAAAGTAAAATTTAGAGAGCTGTTACTAAAGAAGTCTGTCTACACTAGTAGATTCAGGCTAATTTGAATGCCTCAGTCCATACTCTATTTCACTTCAAATTCCCAAGTGACTTGAGAATGTCTGAGTCTGAGCATCCAAGACAAATCTGAGGAATATCCCCCCCAAACACAATAAAAATCCTTTTAAAGAACTCAGCCTATTTCTCTTCCCATTATATGCATTTGATTGATTTAGCATCTCATTTATATCACTACCAGAAGACAGAGAATGAATGCTGGTCATTTAGATTTTTTCCTCTTTATTAATGACTTTAGTGATTTGGTTACAGAAATTAGGGAAAACTCAGGACTAAGAGTAAATTTAGAGACTGATTTTCATTTTATCCCCTCTGTCACTTTGCCAGTTAATGACAAATCATAAAAAAAGACTCATACACAAAAAGATCACTGTATGTCTGCAAAAGAAAATACTTATTAACAATTTGAAAAATTGAGAGGTTTAAAAATAATGAGGACAGTGGCTAGTGAGCTCTGTTATATAAACCGGAGAATATCATTGAAATTAGGAATAAACAGGCCATCCAGCAGAGGAAAATGTCTATAGTCAGTAACTGCATCCTGCTATGTATAAGTTTAAAAGGGAAGACAAGACAGTGCTGAGCAAGGAGCCATGTATACCTGGATGTGCTCTATTAAAGGAGGCGCTTGATTGCTCAGTAATTGCAGAGCTAGGCTCTTGGGGAGGCCTTTGTCATCCCTCCTTGGCTGACACCAGACGATAGTGTGGCTCTGTGATAAGAAACAGAGAACCAGTGTCTCCATGGTAACTAACTGAGCTCTATATATTACACCTCATTACAAATGAGAATAGATAGTACAAAATATATGTATGTGTATATATATTTAAAAAACAGAGAATGAGTGTGTGTGTGTTTGTGTGTTTCCTGTCTTCTATCTTGAAAGTGAATAAAATAAGAATGTGATTACACTGAAAGGATAAGGTTGATGAGTCTTTCCCCCCTGTTGGTGCAGGTAAATATTTCATTTTTTAGTTCCTCTGATGGTTTTGTTCTGAACCCACCCAGCTGTAGCTTGAAAGATTAATGATGGGCAACCAAAGAACCTGAGAAGAGGCAGTGAATGAATAGAAACCAGCACCAGAGAAGAAAGAGTTCTGCCAGGCCTTTGGGACAAATAAATAAGGATTTACTAAGTCTGCTAGTTTCATCCCCATAGCAGGAAAACCTGGAACCCATTAGAGTGGAAACCTGGAGACTTTTATAATATAATGATTCCTAAAAGTTCCAAACTGGCTCAGTCTTGTGACATGGAAGAAGAGGAAAGGAAAATCAGTGGTTTCCTTTCTAATTTTCTCTTCTGTAGGTATTGATTTTACTTTAACATAACTAACTTTACTGTGTCGTTCTTCACATAAGACTATTAGTCCTATGTGTAGAACTTTGTAAGGTTAAATACATTCCCTGAACAGCCTGCCAATGTCATGAATTTTAAGAAATGACTAAATTAAAGAAGTCAGCAGTAAGTAAACCATTAACACTGGAAATTAGAACTTTTTATTCAAGATGCAGAATGAAAGTCTTTGGTCAGAGAACAAAGTTTTTTGCAACGTTTACACTAATTTTAATATATTGGTCCATCTGCTCTTTGATAAATGACTTGAGACCCTAAAGACTCCCTGGTAGCCCAGCAGGGATTTTTGTTGATCCTTTAGGTTTGCTTTCTCCCCACCTATGTCATTTCCTCAACCACTCTTATTTCTGAACAACTATTGGAATCATTTCTAGAAGGGGTGTAAGTGTATTTTTAGGGCAAAACCGCTATATCATATAATCTAAGTGAGATCATGTTCTACCTCTCAGGTCTTCACGCTGATTTCCTGTTCTCCTACACGCCTGTGAAAACTCTTACTAAGAACCCTCCAAGGTCAGTGCATTGCATCGGGGTGACAAACGTTGGGGGGACATAGATGGATATCCAAGAGGAATGTCTGCACAGAAACTTCTCAATGAACGTTCACAGCAGCACCATTCATACATGATAGCCAAAACGTGGAAGCAACCTGGAGTCTGTCAGCTGATGGATGAATAAATATAGTGTGATACAGCCTTGTAACTGAGCACTCAGCAATTGTAAAGAATGAAACACTGATACATGTTACAACACGGATGAACTGTGAAAACATTTTTGCTAAATGAAAGAAGCTGGCCTTAAAATATTACTTATTGTATTATTTGCTTTATAGGAAATTCCAAGCATAGGAAAATCCATAGATTTTAAAAAACTAGATGATTGTTTACCTAGGGCTTAAGAGAAGCAAGGGAGATGTGGGTGACTGCTGAAGGGTATGGGGGATGATGAAAATGTTCTAAAATTGATTGAGTAGTGGTTGCAAAATTAAAAATCACCAACTAGAACCTTACAGAGAGAGAGTGAGATAGATTTTCTGTCCACTGGTTCACACCCCAAATGGTCACAACAGCTGGGGCTGGGCTGGACCAGACCAAAGCCTGAAACCTAAAATTCCATCCACATCTCCCACATGGGTAGCAAAGGCCCAACCAACCCGGTCATCTTCCACTTTCCCAGGCACATTAGCAGGGAGCTGCATTAGAAACGGAGCAGCTAGGACTCGAATTGGTGTACAGATGGGATGCTGACATCGTAGGTGGTGGCTCAACCCACAGTGCCAAAATGCTAGTCCTGAGTTGGACATTTTAGTCATTTATTTTTTGCCAGGCAGAGTTAGACAGTGAGAGAGACAGAAAGAGAGTTATAGACAGTGAGAGAGAGAGAGAGAGAGAAAGGTCTTCCTTCTGTTGGTTCACTCCCCTAATGCCCGCCACGGCCGGCGCTGCGCCAATCCAAAGCCAGGAGCCAGGTGCTTCCTCCCAGTCTCCCATGCGGGTGCAGGGACCCAAACACCTGGGCCATCCTCCACTGCTCTCCCGGGCCACAGCAGAGAGCTGGACTGGAAGAGGAGCAACTGGGATTAGCACCTGGCGCCCCAACTGGGACTAGAACCCAGTGTGCCAGCGCCGCGGCGGAGGATTAGCCAAGTGAGCCACGGTGCCAGCCCGAGTTGGACATTTTAAATGAATATACTGATGGTATGAAAATTTTATCTCAACGCTGTTAAAAAATAGGTAAAGGGCCGAGGTGGAGGAAGATGGTGATTTATAATTAGGATGACCTTGTATCCTGATTGCCCGGAAATGTTTGTTTTTGCAAGATGAGCCAATGAAGTGTTAGTAGCCCTTCTTTGATTTTCAAAAATGTTCTGTTTGGATGTTATAGACACACTATATATATATATATATATATATACACACACACACACACACATATATATGTATATATGTGTATATATATACACACACACACATATACATACACACACACACACCAGAAGTACTATGACCTTGTGTATCAAGTTACAGCATCAAAATATCACTTGGAGATATTTTAAAAATAAAGAATCACCTGTCCCTTCCATGGATTCTAGTTTTGTATATCAGAGGTAGAAACTGGTGTTTTTTATTTTTAACAATTACCCTGGCGATTCATATGAATTTTAATCATATACTGTTTTACTTGTTCATAAAAAGAGTGCCCAAATTGTGTTTTGGGTAAAGAGAATTCCAGAGAGGTGTGCAAAGGCTGTTGTAAGAAATTTATCAGTTGTGGAAGGCTAAACATAAATTCTGTGTTGAGGATGAAGAGAATAATGGGAATAACATAAGCACAGTGACAGTTTTAAGAAACATCCTCATCATCTTCTATCCTGTCTGAAATCAACACACAGAACTAATGTCTGTTATTCAGTAAGATTAAGTGAAGACTAATACCAGCAATAGTCCAGCTGGAAGTTCGTATTCCACAATGGCCAAGGTAGAGGTGGGTGGATTCTGTGTTATCCCTGACAACTGCCGTCGTACTCAAGTCTTGATGTCCACTGCCTCCACTCGGGCTTTCCTGGCCAGTTCTGTCCTATATTCCCTGGCTCAGAATGTTTTGTTGTGAACTCTTCCGCCCAGGCTTGGAGACAGAAAGCAGGACCTTAAGTGAGGAAGAACAGTCTCAGAAACATAGGAAAATCCAAGAAACTGAAACTTTGGGAGTATTTTTTTAATAAGAAGAGTAACAAAGGAAACCAGGTCATAGTTAATAAATATGAGTGGTAGGGTATGTAACATAATATGAACCAAATTCTGATAAAAAGCAATGTCATAATGTATGTAATATGTATACAGTATACATAGAGTTGAATACTTAAAATTATTTGTAACTTATCTGAATACATTAATTGCTACTTAAGGATGCTTTGTCTTCATTGCTCGTATGGAAGAATGTTTCACAGTTTCAACGTCTGAGATGAAATTGTGCTGCAGAAGCCTGCATATTTCCACATGTGCAAAATCACCCTAAAATTTCTTAAGGAGAAGAAAAAAGTCGTTACTAACCCTTTCTCTCATTTGGCCACATTGCTTTCATTCATACCCTTTTTTGCTTCTTTAATCAGTCAGGAAAAAGCTCTCCTGCAGGTTCAGAGCCAGGAAGTACTCTCCTACTTGCCCCTGTCCGTGCCCAAGCCTCTTGATCCCTGGGGAAAAGGTTGCCATCTGGGGAGATTTCTTTGTTTCACTTTGTTCCAGCAAACTGTTTGAAATGTTCAAGCTTTTTACTGGAATTTCAGTCGTCTTCTCTTTTAGGCACTAAAATTTTTTCAGTGTTTGAAAAAGGATCCCTAATTACTTGAAGGACCTCTAAGATGAATATTATTATTATTATTATTAAATAATACATATTAAATATCTCTGATTTCTAAGTTGCTGCTTTTTAATAGAACACTCCATGCTTGCCTTTTAAGCCCTAATACAGTATTAGCAAGACCTATTAACAGATTGGTATGGCAGTATTAATTATCATAGGAGTAAATATTTAGATCGTTGGCTTTGGTGCTTCTGTATGATGGGATAGTCAGTGGTTGTCAGTGTAAGCAGCAGTTTAGCATTTCCCAGAAGATGAGAGTTCACAGGGTAGGGATTTTTGTGCTGCAGGTTAAGCTGCCACCTGGGAGGCCTACTTCTCAAATCAAAGTGCCTAGTGTGAGGTCCAGCCTCAGCTTTCCATCTTCCAGCTAATGCACCTAAGGGCAGCAGGTGATGGTCCGAATAATTTGGGTCCCTACAATGCTTGTGAGAGAGATCCTAATGGATTTCCTGGCTCTTGGCTTTGGTATGTCCCAGCCTTGCTGTTGCCGTCATCTGGGGAGTGAACCAGCAGATGGAAGATCTCTCTGTGTCTATTCCTCTGTCACTCTGCCTTTCAAATAAATAAACAAATCTTCACCAGAAACACAATGTAGGTTTAGAAAAGCTTTAAACTGAAGTACTCAGTGAACACAAGGATTATAAACTTTAGTAACTTCAGATCCTGGTAAGCAACAGGAATTAAAAGCATTTTCTAGAATAAAAAAAAACTATGTTAAATTTAAGATTACTGGTTTCAGATGAGATTCTTTTAAAAAAATATTTATTTATTTGTTTGAAAGACAGAATGACAAACACACAAAGGGAGAGGGAGAGGCAGAGGCAGAGGCAGAGGATGGCGAGTGAGCTTCCATCTGCTGGTTCACTCCCCAAATACTCACAGCAGCCAGGGCTAGAAAAGGCTGAGACCAGGAACCAAGACTTCATCCAGGTCTCCCATGCGTTGTGCAGGGACCCAGGTACTTTACTAGGCACATGAGCAGGGTGCTGGATAGGAAGCTGAGCTATGGGACTCGAACCTGGTGCTGTGATGAGGATGCCAGCATCACAAGCCGCAGCTGACACTGCTGCACCACAGCACCCGCCTCTCAGATGCTATCCTTCAGTAATAAATTATCAGCAGGGTTAGTGGATCCACTGACATGAGGTTTGTCAGGGCTCTAAGATGATAGATGACATTATAAACAAAATAAATACTGGGTAAAACTGTGGCCTTGAATTCTGATTACAGTCAGGAATACTGAAGATTTCAACCAAGAAATAGGAGCAAGACAGATCGGTTAAAAGATAATTCCAGTGTATTGGAAAGGATTATTTCGAATTTGAAATCATAAAATAACCACCAATACTTTAATGCATCTCCTGAATCTTTTTAAAAAATGCTTATTTGTATAACCACTATAGTTTTAAGTCTGATTATTTAAAATTTACTTTATGTGAGTGAAGGTGAACATCTTTTCATTGGATTATTGTTTGTAGCCCTTGACTATATTCCTGCTGAACTATATCTTATAACTTTATTTGTTGACCTTTTTATTTAGTGTAATATTAATCCTTTAACATAAATTAAAAATATATTGTCTTAAAAATTAATAGAAAAATTTGAGAGTAAACAAGACAGTAAGAGAAAGAGAAGAGACAGATGCACAGATCTTTCATTTGCTAGTTCATATCCTGAAATGCCCCCACAACAGCAGATGCAGAGCCAGAGCCAGGAGCCAGGAACTCAATCCAGGTTCCCCCATGTGGATGCAGGGACCCAAAATCTTGAACCATCACCTGCTGCCTCCCAGGGTCTGCATTGGTGGCTAGCTGGAATTTGGAGCTGGGGCCAGGACTCAAACCCAAGCACTCCAATGTGGAACACAGGCAACTTGACCTGCATGACAGTCGCTGAGTCAAATGCCTGTCTCAGCTTCTGATTCTGATTCAATATTTCAGTTGTAGTCTTTTACTAAGGTTAAAGTATACCTCAACAATCAACTTAGGACTAATGCTATGATTAAGTCTTTCATTTTAAATACATATAAATAACATTGAACCAGAGAAAGTGTTAAGGTCCATTTAAGGCCTAGGTGTGTTTGTTGAAGACCTGGGGGACGGTGGAAAAGCCAGGGAACAGCAAGGAACAAAGCCTTTCACCACAGATGCCCT